CCATTGGGCGGTATATAAATAAATTTTATTATTATTATATTATTATTAAATTCAACCTAGATAATGAAGAAATTAAAATAAAGATTCCCCATACTTTGGGTCAGAATCTGTACCAGAATCTGAGCAGAGCAGTGGAGCATAAAGGGGATTTGTAATGTCTCATCCACAGGATTACAATGAGTTGGAACTGACGTGAAGACAGTTAACAACATCTGTTTTGCCCCATTTCAAACTGTACCTTATATACCCCACCTAATTAATAACAAGGGCCACTGGAATAATTGGTTTGATGCAAATTGCAGTCAACTGTCAAGCAACCTTCCAACATATGAGTACACAATGCACAACTTCTGATCCCTTCTCTGCTCTTTTTCTGTCTGTTTTAAATAGCCTTAAGATTATTTAATGTTTCTGTAATAAATAAATGAGATCTCTAGGTACACAGAAGGATCTAAACATTTTATTGAATGAATAAAATTGCTAATGCTGGAAGCTGCCATCACAGAAACATGCAATACAGGAAGCAAATTAACTGCTGTTGAACGTAACATCACAGAAAGGCTCTGAAGGCTACAGACACATGCTTCTGCTGTTTGTCCCCTTAACTTAAATACAACCATAAAATTAACTATATTAAAACTGAGCTGTTAGCCAAAATCTAGAGTCCAACAAGTAGACCTTCACTCATTTGCCAGCTGGATAATGATACTGGTACACAAAACCTTCAACTCCAGCTCCTTTTTTTTTTACTGTCTGATTGATTCATTCATAAATGGTTCTTGTTAACTGCCTTCGCATTGGTCTCAGCCCATGGCAACCCTATAGATGAGATATCTCCATCTCCCCCTGTCTTCTACTGCTCTGCCCAGTTCCTGCAAACTCTTATTTATGGTCTCTTTAATAAAGTCCATCCATCTAGCACAGGGGCCGGCAAACTACGGCCTCCGTGCCGGTTCCAGCTCAGGGCCCTGTGCTTACCGGCCCAGGCAGACCCCTGCCGCCACCGCATGTTTCGGTCGCCGCGACTACCATTTTGTTTTCCAAAATGGCAGCCACGACACACTTGTGCACGCGCAGGAGTACTGCGCATACGCAAACACGTCACGGCTGCCATTTTGGAGAACAAAATGGTGGCCGCAACATGCGCGGAGGCAGCTGTGGCAGCGCACGCGGGGGGTTGCGCGCGTGAGTGCCACCATTCCCCCCCCCAGCCCGCCGGAAGATAGGACTTCGGGGGATCAGCCCCCGGCTCAAAAAGGTTGCCTACCCCTGATCTAGCATGTGGCTTTCCTCTCTTCCTCTTTCTGTCCACCTTTCCTAACATCGTATTTTCCAACAATTCATGCCTTCTCATGATATGTCCAAACTGCAACAGTCCAAGTTGTGTCATCTTGGCTCTAGGGATATCTCTAGCTTGATCTGCTCTAGGATCCATTGTTGGTCCTTTTGGCTGTCCATGGGATCCTCAGCACTCTTCTCCAGCACCATATTATCTCAAATGTGTTGATTTTCTTCTTATCATCTTTCTTGACTGTCCAGCTCTCACATCCATACATGGTAATAGGGAATACAATGACTTGTATGATTCTGACTTTTGTGCTGAGTTATATGTCTTTGCATTTTAGGATCTTTTCTAGTTCTTTTATAGCCGCCCTCCCCATTCTTAATCTTCTGATTTCCTGGCTGCATTCCACATTCCGATCAATGTTTGATCTCAGATATGAGAACTCATAAATGGTAAATGTATATTCATCAATAATATTAAATTTACTGTGGTAAAATGGTAGCACAAAGCATTAAATGCATAAGTTGAAGTCAACCACAAATAATAACTATAAAAGATGTGGATTTTTTGTTTGTTTGTTTTTAATTGAAACACACAAATTTTGCAATGAATAGTGTTGGCACAAACTACTAACTATCCTAACTACTGTTTTACTGGATGGGCATAGCTCAGCAACAGGACACTTGCTTGGCCTGCAGGAGGTTCCAGCATTCAATCCCCAGCATCTCCAATTAAAAGGATCCAGTACAAGGTGGTGGGTCTATCATTCATTTTTATATTGTTTGAATTATTTCATATTACTTTTTAACTGTATTCTCTTAGCTGTAACTGATAGAATGGACACAAATGTACTTCAACAGAATATCAATTAAATCTTGCTCTCCCTAAGAACTCCCTAAAGGGGCTTAATTTTTTGAGGTTTCTGCCTCCAAATGTTTCTGTAAAACATTTTGTTTTGGGCTGTAACTGGCTGAATGTTACCTGTACAGCACCTAAAAGCTTTTTCAAATGTAGCATTACACAGATTTCTTGAGAAATTCAATATTCGCTGCCTCTGAAAGGGGCCTGTTCTTTCACAAGAAAAAAACAGAGACACCCTGGATCCCAAGAGGAGTTACTTTAATGTTTCTGATGGAGTTTAAATTTAATCGTCCTTTGTCTAACGTACCCACACAACCAAGAGAGGTGCATCCTCTGCCTGCACTGAGATTCTCCAAACCAACTGACCAACAACAGAAACAACATCTGACACAAATGAAACCCCGTGTCTCCAACACTGTCATTTTTGTTTTCTCTCCTCTTTGATTTTTAAAACATCTTTTGCCTGATGAAGAAACTAGCAGAGCTTCAAAAGCTTGCACAATGTGTTTTCTGCATTTTGGTTGGCCAATAAAGAGATCACTATAATAATATTAACAGTTTATTTATTTATATCACCTTTTTCACCTAACTCCTTTGTGTTTTTTGCATCTTTTTTACTTTATTTTGACGTATGGCCAACAGGGCTGCCCCTGTATATATATATTATCAGCTGTTTTCAAATAAATTGGGAGAATGTGGGTGTGATAGCTGGAGTGTGGAGAAAGCTGACATAAAGAGAACAACTCATCTGAAGGATACCATGGACTCCTAAAAATGGCAAATGAATAGGTCTTAATGCAAATCAAGCTTGAACTCACGCTAGAAGCAAAGATGACTGAACTTGAGCTTTTTCCATTGAGTCCAATGTGACTCATTGGAAAACATAATGCTTGGTAAAGTGGAAGGCCACAGAGAGCCAGAGTGGTGTAATGGTTTGAGCACTGGACTATGACTCCAGAGACCAGGGTTCGAATCCTAGCTCGCATTCTCTCAGCCTCAGGGGATGGCAAAAAGCAAAACAAAACCAACTCTCTGAAGAAACATGCCAAGAAAACCCCATGATAGGTTATCTTTAGGGTCACCATAAGTCAGAAATGACTTGAAGGCACACAACAACAACAAAGTCGGCGGCAGTAGGAAAAGAGGAAGACCGCACTACAGGTGAATTGAGTCCATCAAGGAAGCCAGAGCCCTGAGTTTGTAAGACCTGAACAGGGTTGTTGATGACTGAGGATTTCCAGAAGGTGAAGTAGACCTGACAGCAAATAACTGCAACAAAGAAGGGAGAAGTTCACCTTTACCACTGAAAACAGAAGAGCCAATAATTTTATTATTTTATTAATAAGAGCCTTCCACCATCATAGAGGGAGAGAAGGCAGGCCAGCTCCATTGGGCCAAACCTGAACGAGGACGACCCTCCCTCCATCCACCATCATCAAGGGAGAGAAGGCAGGCCAGCTCCATTGGGCCTAGCCTGAACAAGAAGGCCCTCCCTCCATCCACTATCATTGAGGGAGAAAAGGCAGGCCAGCTCCATCAGGCCTAGCATGAACAAGGAGAAGGCCCTCCCTCCATCCACTATCATAGAGGGAGAGAAGGCAGGCCAGCTCCATTGGGTCTAGCCTGAACAAGAAGAAGGGCCCTCCCTCCAGTCCATCTGCCTTGGTCCAGGCTTTAGAAGGAGAGCAGATCTGCTGGACTTATTCCCCTTCCCCACCACCATTCCCTTCTCCTTTTGGGTCTTGTCTTTTAGAATATAAGCCTGAGGGCAGGGAAATGTCTAATTAACCATTTG